GTATGTATGTATGTATGTATGTATGTATGTATGTATGTATGTATGTATGTATGTATGTATAACATAACTGGATGTAAATTCTAAACAGTGATTTGGAAAGGAGGATTAGAAAATGTTGTTATTAAATATTATGATGTTTAGCTAGAATAGGACATAAGGATTTAGTGTTAGTGGAGGATTTTAGAAATAGTAAATGAAAGGCCAGTATGTGGTTATGTATTAAACCTTGATATATTTTGATGATGATGTTTAAACAATTATAGTCAAATGAAAACGGAGATATGATGATGGTGACATGCATAAATATTTGAGTTAAAACACCTGAGTTAATATGAACTATGTTTGTTGGCTGTGGAAGAGATGGACGAAAGTCTTTTTGTAACCAACTGATACACTTTCTACAGCATGTAAAGAAGGATGTGTTGTGTTTGTTTTAAATAAAAAGAATTATTAAAAAAAAGAGAATCACTGAAGTTGGTAAGTGACTAACACGGTTGTTAAGTGAATCTGGCTTCCCCATTGGTTTTGCTTGCCAGAAGGTTGCAAAAGGCGATCAGGTGACCTGGGGACAGAGCAACGGTCGTACGTATGAACTAGCTGACAAGCATCTAAAATTGGACCACATGGTCATGGCGCTGCTACAAAGGTCGTTAAGTGTGAAAAATGGTCATCAGTCACTTTTTTCAGTGCCGTTGTAACTTTGAACAGTCACTAACTGAACTGTTATAAGTCGAGGACTACCTGTACAAATTTGCTTCTCTCTAGGGCTTTGAATACTTGTGTTTAATGTACTGTACCCGCCATCTATCTTGAGTAACCATCGATCTCATCTACTACCCAGCCCTGGATAAACCTCCAAATGGCCTCAACGACTCTCTAGCAAATGCAAATAACCAGATGTCTGCAAGGAGTATAAATCTTTCCATTCCTCATCATCCTGTCCGAGCTGAAGAAACTCCTTGGATGAGAAGCAAAACACCTTCAAAGAAAAACAAGGAAGTCCAGTTGCCTCTTTGAAAAAAAGCACCCTTGGGACATTCTGGAGGGATGTTCTACAGGGAAGGGGCTACCATGGAGAAGGCCCTTTTTCTTGATCCCACCAGGTGGAACTCCTTAAAAAGGGGGACAAGTAGCATACCCTCTCTCTGGTATGGTGGGTCAGATATAATTGGGAAAAGATGGCTTTTCAAATAACTGGGGTAAGGCTTTAAAGGTGACAACCAACACCTTGAATTGGACCAGGAGACAAAATCAGCAGCCGATGTAGCTCTCTCAAAAGTTGTGATACATGTGCAAATATAAGCTTGTACACAACCATGTGGGCCACTGCATTTTGAACTAATTGAAGCTTCTGGATACTTTTCAAGTGCAGCCCAATATGAATGCATTGTTGTAGTCAAGACGGAAGGTGATCTGGGCTTGGATGCCTGTATCCTGAAAAAGGCTGAAGTTTAGAATAGGGTAGAATAGAGTAGGAGTAAAACAACAAAGTTGGAAGAGATCTTGGAGGTCTTCTAGCCCAACCCCTTGCTCAGGCAGGAAACCCTATAGCATTTCAGACAAATGATTGTTCAATCTCGTCTTAAAAACTTCCAGTGTTTGAGCATTCACAACTTCTGGAGACAAGTTGTTCCACTGATTAATTGTTCCCCAGGAAATTTCTTCTCAGTTTTAGGTTGCTTCTCTCCTTGATTAGTTTCCACCCAAGTGGGAATAATGATGCACTTAGGCTTTAAAAAATACACATTTTTTTAATTAGTTATTTTAAACAGAGGATAAAAACTAACAAGAACTAATGTAATGTAAAAAGGAAAAAGAACAGAGGAAAATCCAAAAGTAAAGAAAGAAGAAAAAGATAAAAGTAGTTTCTAATTTTCTTTACAATTATTACAACACATACAAAATTACCTCATACTTTATGGTTACAAAAACAAACTTATTTTCTTTTCTATTATCTACCTTTCCTAATCATCCAAACCATAAGGAATGTTCATTTTTTTCACATTTCACCAAAAAGTCTGTAAAGGCCTCCCAGTCAGCAGTAAAACAGTTTAAAAAATAAATAAATACTAAGCCTTTTAATTAATTTCTTCAAAGGGGTGGTTTATACACAGACAGATATATACAATATAAGTTATGGCTCAAGAAGCTGAAATCTGAGATAAACCTCTGCTTATTTAATAAAAGGAATCACATTTCATTAATTTCATTCATCTTTTATTTTCATGTTTATTAATCTTCCAGTAACTGAAGAGAGTTTACTTCCAACATCTGGATAAAGGCACTCCTCATAAAAATCAACATTGAAAAGGCAAACCACATAAAAATCAAGATTAAAATAAATAAACAAAACGGTTACGGTAGAAATAATGGCTCGCTCCCCTCTCCTTTTTGAGTTTTTCTTCCTTAAGACAAGTTATGATGTGTCGTAGTTTCTTCGGAGGACATTTTGCAAGGATTTGTTTTTATTAGTTGTGCCTTGAAACCTCATAGGACATGGTAGTGTTAATATGTAAAGGTTAGCACACCTGGATCAAAATAGGCCATTCCCACCCTGTAACTTAGTTTTTCAGCACACGTCACTTAAATCTGTCATGTTCAAAATGAAAAAAAAAAAAAAGACCTTGCTCGAATTATCAACCACTAAAGCTTTATTCCATGACGCTTCTGACAAGCGTGTGTAAAATGATGCTTTTGACGAGCGTACATAAAATCTATGGCATATAGACCTTGAGCTCAGATCTCTTTTCTTCTTCCAAGAATTAGCTTCACGATATCAATTATGCTACCTGACGGTTGCCTGGAGCTCAAGGTGAGCTCTGTAGTTTTACTGACTGCATCCACTCTTGTATGGGTGGTTCTGGGGTCAGGAATTACCGGTTTATCTTATTTTAAATGCATGAAAAGAATTCGGAGACTGGAAGCAAGCTGGCCACCCACCAAGGTGTTAGAATTGCTTGAATGATTATCTGCTATCTAGTTGTTTTCGACTCCTTAACACCCACGTCGAAAAGGACTTCATGCTTTATAATAGTCAATTAAAAAATGTCGAAAATAAAATGACTGCCACAGCAACAATTTTTTAAAAAAAATCAATTTCCCAAAACTTGGCCCGTCAAACAAGATCGCACAATAATTCCCTGGAGGGCTAAACTGGTTCAAACAGTCACAATATGGACATGTGATAATTGGAGTTCTAAAAAACAAGAGAGATGTGTGAATGAAAAGAGGCAAAGTGTGTGCAGATTATCCTCTCTAGCCCAAAGGGGCCACAACTTTATGGCATAAAGAAACCTAGCCATGAAGAGTCATCATTAAAATATAAACCAGGGTAAGCACTCCAACTGTTTACAGCAGCATTTCTCAAGCTTAGCAACTTTAGGTTGGCAAACTTAAGGCTAGAAATGGGAACAAAATCTATGGGGTACAAATCACCCACAATCCATCCTTAAAATACAGGCCACCAAAATGCAGCCATTTTGCTGATCTTGAGGTACAGGAGGAGTAAAAACTAAGGTTTTTTTTGGGGGGTGGGGGGGCTCAATAGAGCCCATGGATTCTGCATTCCTGCAATACATCAGCAGAGAAGTAGCAGATGTAGAGGGGCCGTTTCAATGACTTCTACAAGAATATTTTTACAACCCAGAGTTGCTTTTTCAAGAAGCAAAATTGGACTTTGTTTTTTTCCGTGAAGACGTTTCGCTCGACTGACGTTCAGAACTGAAGAAACTTCTTGGATGAGAAGCAAAATGTCTTCAAGGAAAAACAAACTCCAGTTGTTACCTCTTGAAAAAGCACCTTTGGGGACAACCATGACCTGGACGACTGAGAACCTCTGTAAGTATTTTTATCTCAAAACTATCCCCTGCTTGTTCGCCTCTCTGCCCCCTACCCCATTTCTTTTGTGCTCTTAGAATTCACGGTCCAACGTTTTTATAAGCCGTACAGGCAACTTGCCCTATCAAAAAAATT